ACAGCTGCAGTTACAAGGGGCCCACAGCATGATAGACAAGAGGGGACAGTCCTCAGCCTGGACACTGCCCCATGGTGTTGGAACCAAGAGGTTGTCATCTGAGGATGCCAGCTGATGAGGAGCGCTTCCCTGGTGTAAAGCCCGCCATGCTGCTGGGGTAGGCTACAGGCTTCACATGGTGCAGTTCTGGAGAGGGACAAGGATGCGAGTCCAGATTAACTCTGGATGTCAGTGTATTTCCTCTGGTGCAGATCACACCAGGCTCCAGCCTGTCGTGTAGTTGGGCGCTGGTTTAAAACAGGAGCTGGCACACATGCTCCCCAAACCAAACGGAAGAGAAATCATTCTTGGCAGCCGTGCTCCCTCTGCTGGAGGCAGCACCAAACATGCAGGGACCAGCTTCCTTCAGCTTCCCTACAGTAAACAGGAGCAGGCATAGGCCCTGAGCACCTCCCAGGGAAAAGCTCCCATTTTCATGTCACTGGCAGCAGGACTGGGCTCCCGGCTTTCAGAAAGCACGGTGGGAGGGAAGGGGGCTGGTTTACACACTGCAAGTTAAACAGAAGTTCAAGCCAAATCCAGCTCAGATTTCATTTGAGGTGCACATGCCTCATCCACCGGCTCCCTTAGCAGTGTCCAGGCCAAGCACAGGTACAGGCAAAGGGGACGCTCCTGCTGGTTCCCTGAGGCCATCGCTGCCTCAGGGGAAGAACCCTTTTGGCTGAGGGAAGATTGTGGCTCCTTCTCTGCCCTGCTGGGGCCTGGCACCTCCCCCTCCCCAGCTTGCTGAGCTCACTGAGGCTTAGACGGGGGGTATGGAGCCAACACTCCTGTGACCCAGCCAGATTCCTGCAACCCGTGCTGGGCTTTGATACCTGCAGAGAAATCTGCAGCTGGCAGTGGGAACAGAAGCTCCAGGCAACAATGGGACGCCCTGGGGAGTGGCTGTACCCATGCAGGGATGCATGTGGCACCTGGATACATGCAGCCACTGCTCCCTGTGGCTGCAGAGCACCCAGACACAGAGCTCAACGTGCATGGTGCCACCACCCACCCTGCAAGTACTGTACCTGCATAGCGTACCAGAGACTGGAACAAGCACAGCCCAGAGCAAACACGTAGCTGCTGTAAACAAGCCCTGCAGGGTGCTGGTCCTGAGCCCGTACATGGCTGGCCTGGGATGGTGTGTCACGGGCACTGCACCAGCTCTCCATGGCACTCAGCCTGCCCAACACCCAACCTTGCACAGCACCCCTCATACCAGTGATTCCAGTGATGGCCAGAAGTCTCTGGGCCTGGCCATCATCTGCACACGCTCTTCGTGCACTTTTCCTTCTTACTGTTGTGCACCAAGCACCTGTATTCTCCAGCAGCTGCACCATCATGACAGAGCACCCCTGAGCCGTGGGATCTGCATGAGCATTTGGAGCCAGTTCTTGGGGCCTGCCATGCTGCCTCTCGTGTCTGTAGTGTCCATCTGCACCGAGCACCACTTCTCCTTCCGGCTGAGAGGCCGAGTGAGGCTTTTTCTTCAGGAGCAGAGTCTGTTGGGCCCACACCCCTTCCCATGTGCGCCCAGGTCATTCAGGTACACAAACTGGGACCTCTGCATGTACCAAGTGACCAGGCCACCTTGCAACTAGCAACACAAAGCAGCCTGTGAGAGCACCAAGAGGCTGCCACACCCAGTGACCCCTCCACAGACACCAAACCCTACTGCCAACCTCTCTGTGAGCATCGAGAGAAGTCACTCCATGGCTGTTGTAGCCGCCTGTGCCCCAGCCAATGCCCTCTGCTGGCATCTCCCACCCAGATTTGGCTGAGCTGGTTTATACACCCAGGATGTGGACAAGAAGCTTTTCCTGCTCCTACATCACAACAATGACTGCGATTTGGGGGCCAGCCCATGGGAGGAGCCACTCCCAAACATCCAAGACCAAGTCACTGCTCTACAAATGGGCATCTACTTGGAACTCAGGTACCCATATCTGTCTCAGTGATGCGGCCTTATCACACTGTATCGAGAATGGCTAGAGCCCATAATGCGAAAGATCCCAGCATGCCAGACAAGCCACCTACCGCAGTGGTGAGTAAAACTTTGTAACACTGAGGGCTGAATGGCAACTTGTCAGGCATCTGAGAATCACAGTTCTGGAGTATATTTACACATATTTGCATGATTTTATGCCTAGTCACATTCCCCCTTGATGCATTTAGAATGAAGGAGCTGAGTCTGTTTAGCTTATCGAAGGGAAGGTTAAGGTGTGACAGTCTGCCAGTACCTGCATGAGGAACAGAGATGTGATAATAGGTCCTTCAAGCTAGCCAATAAGGGTACACCAACATCTAGCTGCTGGGGATGGAAGCCACATTCAGCCTGCAAATAAAGTGAAAATTGATAACAGTGAGGTAATTCACCACTGGACCAACTCACCAAGGCCTGTATGGATGTGCCCTCACCAACAATATTAAAATCTAGCCTGGATTTCTCCCCCAAAAGAGCTGCTCTAGTTCAAACAGTAACTAAGGGAAACCCTTTGGCACGTATGATAGAGGAGGTATGACTAGAGGACCCGGGGTCTCTACTGACCTTCTGAGCCACAAATCTAGATTTTAAGGCCAGAAATGCTCACAACGATTTCTTCTGACCTCAGGCGCCACACAGGCCAGACACTTCCATCCAAACGTGGCGGGATTCTGTTTTCTGAGCCCTGCATTGCCACTGCTGCATTTCCCATTTTAAAATATTCCCTTTCCTTCCACTGCCCCCGGATTTCCCCTCCCCCTTCTACTAGTGTCACTTTTCCTATTTCCTCAGCACTCTCCTTTCCACATTGCCCCCTCCATTCATCCAGCCCTCTGTCTGCTTTCTCCTGTGTCCCTCAGTTTTCTAGGATACGGGATCACACCTGTATTAATTACGAAAGAATCCATGAGTCTCAGTGGATAACAGTTTTCTAGGATACGGGCTCACACCTGTATTAATTAGGAAAGAATCCATGAGTCTCAGTGGATAATACTTACAGAATGGAGCCAGGTATTAGCAACCCTTCAATAAACGGAAGGGCACTTTAAGGGCAAGACTTGTATGAGGACAGAATGTGTTTCCATGGACATGGTGAGCTATATAAGACCAAGTCCACTAGCCAGGAAGTTCAGTTTGTTATGGTTTGGCTCGGAATGAGGTTTTGACTAGACAGATGTGTTCCTTTGGCAGGTCCCTTAAAAAGCATGCCCTTGCTGGGGGTATGATGGAAGACGGCTTCCCTGTGGAAGCGCTGAATGTAACACTGCAGCTGCAGGGCCAAGGCCAGAAGTGAGTCTAGGCTGGTGTCATTGACACAGGGAGATGCCAGATGGTGAGAATGATTAACAGACTCCTGACCCTTTACATCCTCCCCCGGATCACCACTGGATCTGCCTCACTGAGCATGTGCTGTAGGTTAAACTCACATGCCAACAGGGCATCAGAGAGGAGCGAGGCCAGGAAGAAAAGCTGATAGGTGGTGTTCAAGTAGTCCCCACCCATCTTTAAACTCACCCACACTTCCAGCTCATGGCTGTGCAAGGTTATGGCAGTTTGCCCCCATGCGTAAGGCCTCATGTATGGGCCAGGCTCAGAACATCCCCCCCCGTGCCAACACAGCCCAGTTCAGAGATGTAGCAGCCCTTCTGGCACTCCGTGCCTCTGGCTTTGGGGGCGAGGGAGGAGTAATGGACGAGATGCAGTTTAGAGATATTGGAGGCAATCTGGCCACAGATACCAGGTCAAACCCTGACCTACAAGAAGTGACACAGCATCTTTCCTGTCCCTAGAGAGCAGTCAGGACCTTTCGGTTTTGATCCAACAGATCCAGAGCAAGTGAATTGCAGGGGGTTCCAGGCATCTCCAGCAGGGAGAATGTCAGGAGTGAATCTCTGCAGACTTCCAAGACATGAGGTTTTCTCCACTCCCAAAGCAAATGCTTACTTTGCACAGAACAGCTTGCTCCACCTCGCTGCTTGCCTGTGCACAACTCACGTTACATTCTTTGGCCTCCTCCAACCTCGGCCTGTTGATCTGATTGCCACAGGGTCAGACATTTCTCCGCCCTGATCAGAAGCACTTCTGCAGCATGACAGTATGTAAGTAGCTAGTCGAAAGAGCAACGCAAACAAACCCAGAACACCCTGGTGAGGACACAAGTTGCAGCACCCAAGAGCTGTCAGCGGACACTTTCCAAACTCTCTCTCAAACAGAAACAAGCTATTCAGAGAGGCACTACACTGGGCTCTGTTTATCTGCCTGGCTGGGCTTTCCTGGGAACAGGGACCATTTCCCATTGCCACCAAGCTAACAGCCAAGCACCCCCCTCCGCTGGTAATTGACCTGCATAAGCCCTTTGGAAGATGATGCACCTTGCTTGGCACTTGCCGTCTGGTGCCTGTAGCAGACTTGACACAGAGAATGAATGCTTTCCTGTGGTGCCTACAGCAGGCCTTCTCGTGGGCACTGGCCGGCAGAGGAGGGCAGTTTGGTTATGGAGGCTGGCAGAGAAAGGTGCCCTCAGGAAGGATTGAGTTCATTCCTCATACAGCCCCAGTGGCCAGAAACATGCTGCCTTCAGCAGACTGATCTTCTGTGAGGACCCCAGCAAAGGAATGGCCTTCGATTAGCTGGGAAAGGCACCAGGAAACTGCAGCTCTTTAACACCCTCCTAGGTCTGGCTGGCTGGGGGAAGCATGACACCATTTCTTTGCTCTGGTTCCATATCAAATTCTGCACCAGCTCAGGGGCCTCACAGACAAGGGCTGGACGGTGATAGTTTCTCCCACACTCTTCAGGCCAATCCGACAGCTGCGATCAGCAAGAACACTGCGGCTGGCAGGCCCTAGGCAGAATAGACATGGGCACCACGCCCACACTTTACTTGAGAGTCCTTGAGTCTCAGAACTTCATTGAAGAGGTTGACAGATTAAGGGCCACACCACATGTGTGTGGGGGGAGGGGAGGGAGAGATAAGGCAACGCAAGAACTAAATCAGTGTGAACTGGTCATGAGCTCGCCAGGGATGGGGAAGGAGCGGGCTATGGTCAAGGAGCAGAGGGACTGTTTAGCAGAAGGGATGGAGTTTGAGCTAGTGCAGGCAGAGGGGCAACTACAGCCTGCAGGCCACCCCCAGCCTGTGGGACCATTCAGGTGAGCCCGAGCCAGGGAGCAGGGTTGGGGGCTTGTTCTAATCTGCCTGGCACACTGTGCAGGCATGACCTCACTGTGGTGCTTCAAAAACACCATGGAGGAAGGAGGGGGCAGGAGGTTCCTGGTGAGTTTACACTGGTCTTTGCCTCTTCTTGTCCATGGGGTATCTGGGCTTGAGCACCATGGCTCAGCCTTGTCAGGGGACTCGGACAAGTGACACAACCAGGCCATAGGAGGGCCCAGGTTTTCACAGTGCAAGCAATCTTGGACAAGCAGTGCTTTGAAATAGGGGCAGCAGGGAGGGGTTCAGCTTGGTTAGATCATTGCAATGCGTTCTGATGGGGGAATTCACTGTGTGAAGAAACACTTCCTTTTAGCTGTTTTAACATTGATGCCTATTTTCATTTGGTGACCCCTAGTTCTTGAGTTACCAAAGGTGATTAAATGCTGGACCTTCACTGTTGAGAGTGCATCTGCCATCTCTTGAGGTCTTCAGGTTAAGCCTGGTGGCCCTGCTGGAAGATACTTTAGCCAAAACACATGTTATGCAAATCACTGGCCTCAACACAGTTTGGGAGTCCCAGTTTAGGTGAATAATTTGTTGTGGCCAGAGGACTTGCCCATTTGGCAACAGTGCTATGCCCACACATGCCAGCTGCATGATGGCAGGGGTCCATACGGGTCTATTTCCAAATCTGGGTTTGGAACTCAGCAATCTACCTCCACAAACCGGAGAAAGGACATGCCTGTTTGTATCCTCAGCTGCCCGCAACACAACTGCAGCTTTGCAAGTCCTGCATGTGTGGGAAACACATCAGTGGCTGGACAACATGGTGGATACACCTTATCTGAGGGTTCAGATTACTGGGGTGGGACTTTGGTTACCTGGTGCTTCAGTGTATACTACTACTGCTGCCTTACATCTCTGGGACATCTGGCACTCCACAGCTTCTTCTGCCAGCTGCAACACCACCCTGCAGTAAGGCAAGGGATTTTTTCTTCTGTCAGTCAGATGCAGCGAAAAGTTCCACTCCTAAAAGCTGCTCGGCATCTGGGCCACATGCATGTTTACGTGATTTCCACATGCCCGATGTATGCATACCTAAACACATAGGGCAGGAGAATCAGGCAACAAGAAGGCAAGTGTTACTAATAACAGTTGGTCACAAGCTCTCGTCATCTGCACAAACATTTCATAGTAAGTGTTATATTGTATAGAATAAATACATTCTACTCATTGGGAAAGGGAATCCGTGCACACACACTACCTCTCATGTTAGCTGGGCTGGGGATGAAAACAAGACAGCGAGGCAGGATCAGAGTGATGTACCCAGTATTTTTGAGTATGGCCTGAAGCGAAGGGATGTGGGCAGAGGGGTCCCCAAGCTTCATACTTGGCTGGTGCAGCAGTATCAGTACTTGGAGTATCTGCGCAGTGCTCTGTCCCAGAGGCCCTTGCACTCAGAGTCAATTACTGGTTACCATCCTTATTATACACACACTCCTCTCTAAAACATTACCCCTGCTTACTTATGCACATGGATCTGTTGTATTCATGGGAAATGGCCTAGTATAATCATTGGACATTCCCTCCCATGCACAAAGGAAAATGAGTGGTAATTCTGAATCAATATCAAGATCCAACAGCTAAATAGACCGTTATGGTCCAGACCAGGGATGTTAAAAAGCAGGGAGGTTTTTTGTAAACATGTAACCCCTGAAAATTTCAGCAGTTAAATGTTTACACATGGGGGAAGGGAAGCATCTCCATGGGAGCTGGTGCACGCAGAGAGCTAGCTTTTAAGCTGCCTGCCCCAGTTATGGTCCAGACCAGGGATATTAAAAAGCAGGGTGCTTGTGCTTGTGTGCAACCGTGAGGGTTAAGCGACGAGCCTGAGCTCATTGGTTAACCGTTTAAACGAATACACTAACACACCCCCAGTCCACATTAGATGTAGCAGCTCGACAACACAACTGCAAGTGCCCTTGCTAGCATACACAAGACTGACATATCCAGCTTTCTACAGCATCATGTACATAGAGATTTATAAACTGGTACCTCCTCCTCCCCACCTGCAAACACACACGCCCAGTATGGAAAGGCTGTGACAGCCTATAGAATGAAGACCAGGCACAGGTTTCCACTGGTATGATTTGTAACCCCAACTGAAGTAAACATGCACATCTCTACCACCAACCTGCCCAGGGAAATCAGGGTTAATAAGAGAAACACATTTCTAGAAGTCCATAGGTGTTTGGTTTTTTATTAGGACTGACACATTCATTGTATGTCACAACTTCCACTGATCAATGCGTTTTAGAAAAATCAAAATGCCAGCACCAGCCAGCAAGAGAATGGGGCTTATATAGTAACAGTTTTGAAAAGGCATTAAATGTTTACTGCCCCCCATCCATAACCCTCCCATCCATCCCCCTCCCTTCCCCTCCCCCCAAATTCTCACAGCTTTGATTGTATTGATAAGCTTGGTTTGACAAATGTTTCCCAGCTGTCAGGTTATTCTCACGGCCACAAAGAGGCTAACTAGAACTCAAAAAGGCCAGGAATTACTTTAATGGTAAAAAAGAGCGGATATGGCAACACTACTAGTAAAGTGGGATACATCACAGAAACAAAAGTCTTTGCAGGCAACACTGGCTGGAAATAGTAAAACACTTGATGGGTGAAAAAAGTGAAACTCTAAATTATATACAAGAGTAGCTAAGGGTGGCACTGAAAAACAGTCTCGTTTAATGTGACCCAGGGTTTAACTTGTCATTATCTATTGCTTATTTATTCAGATCGGTAATAACACTTTATATAGAGACAGATGTGTAAAAATGAAACTGTGGAAAAAACAGCTTTTCATATGAAATGCAAAGTATAAGCTCTGTCCAATGTGGAATGTACCTACAGTCATTTGTACAAGGCTCTCATTCTTCTCTTTATAAAACCAGGTGGCCTGCCAAGCAAGTTAGCTGTATATTTTACTTGCTCAGGACAAGTTGCTTTGAATCAGTTGCAAGCATCTTTCATTCTGAAGTTCATTTTCACTTTGAAAGTCTAACTTGCCCTACAGTGAACAGACAGGATCTGTACGTGTCTGCTAGCAACATGGAAGGGAGGCAGGAACTCTTATCCTTATGAAGGACGAAATTCAGTTGTTAAACTTTAATGGGTATCCAATGGCTTTTTCCAGGCACTCTACCAAAGAGCCAGCAGAAAGAAAATCCCTCTCCACTTCCACAAATTTGATGTAGATGGATTTAGGTGACACCCCTGGTTCTACGATGCAGTTCTGTGATAAAAATCCATTAATCCCAACCCACTCTTTGCTGAAGGTTTTGGTGTTGGCCTGAAAGTGTAAAAACAAGCACTGCTGGAGAGTTCTAACCTCAGCAATGCCAAGGTAACAATAGATAATTCTGGTGGACTCCATCTCCACCCTGAGAGAGGCCTGCGGCGAAGGAACATCTACCTCCCCTGGAGTCTCTTTCCCAGGATCTGTGCCTATGCGGTCTACATGAGGTGAGTGGGGTTTCTCCTGGCAATCTTCATAACCAATGGCATAGAGGCCAGGGCTTTTGGGAATCCCCCCTGGTAATAAATACTGAACAACATTTCCTCCGGTTGGCTTAGAATGTGCTATGGGTATCCAGTCGATTTCCATGTGCAGCTCCAGGCACCTTGCTTCGCTAATAGTAATCTCTAGGAATTTATAGTAAACATTTTTCCAGTTCATTTTCTGGACTCTCGTCATAACGATCCTGCCCTCTGGCTTCTCCGAATTGAAATATTCCCTAAGCCGCTTCCCAAGAGGCACCTGGGAACTGATCTCTGCGTAGTGGTACCGAATATCCTCCTTCCAGCGTGTGTTATAACCAATCCCAAAAATGGCTAGTTTGTTAGAAAGGTGTAGCCTGGAGAAGTCTGTCCAGCTCTGAAACAGCTCCCATTTTAACTGGACGGATTCCAAGATTTGCACAATATTCTGCATGACGTCTTGCTTCCTAGAAAAATTAACAAATGTAAACCATAAGATGGAGCTCAGCTCAAACTGAAGCAAAACTAAAAAAAAAAAATCATCAAGTTTGAAAGAGCACATTAACTTTCACAAAACATTAACCAAAGCAAGAACAGTCATCAACTGAAAAATTGGTGGCCAACGGAAAACAAGCACTCATCAGAAACATCACCGTCTGCGCTAATGCATAGAATTCATCATTAGCATTTAAGCATTTGATTCTTTCAAAGTGCTTTAGAAAAGCCTCCAAGAGGTCTGTGAAGCAGGTAATACAATGATAAAGATGGGCATTGTTTCCTAAAATGAAAAAACAGAATCTCAACAGGAACATTTAACCCAGATATATTACACGCAACACACAGACTACGTCTAGACTGGCATGATTTTCCGCAAATGCTTTTAATGGAAAAGTTTTTCCGTTAAAAGCATTTGCGGAAAAGAGCGTCTAGATTGGCACGGACGCTTTTCTGCAAAAGCACTTTTTGCGGAAAAGCGTCCGTGCCCATCTAGACGCCCTTTTGCG